TTATGTTTTCTTAAGAGCAACTTTTTATCTACATTTTACAATTTGGATACTTTTTCTGTAGAACTTTCCGACCTCTTGGACTGACTTACATTTGATCACATTGTCTTGCTCAAACAAGTTCTATTCATAATATCACTTACCCACTTGTTGCGTCTGTTTGTTTGGTTTTTTTTTTTCAATTTCACTGACCATTTCCACTTACGTTCAGTGCGTACATTATTCAAATGCTTTGGGTGTATACTGTTTACACTTTTAGTAACTTAATAAATAACCTAATTTGTCAAATATACTGGATATGTTATTTAATATGATGTTTTGCATAAGCGCTGAAGTGTTTTAGCATATTAGCAGAAAGTACTCAAAATGTACTCATAAGTACTTTTTTAAAAAGTACTTGTACTCAAGTACATTTTACAGAAAAGTACTTTTACTGTACTTAAGTATGTTTTTTAGATTGTACTTAAATTTGTACTTAAGTACTTTTTAAAAAGTACTTTAACAGCTCTGTGTGTGAGAGAGCAGTGCAAGGTCATCGGCGAAGTCTTAAGTCGTCCAGCTGCTGCCAAGTGATCCATTGTATTCCATTACGTTTGCCTCTGGTGGCTTTTTTCATGACCCAGTCAATTGCCAGTATGAAGAGAAAAGGTGAGAGCAAGCATCCTTGTCGCACTCCTGTCTGTACCCGGAATGGTTCTGAGAGTTGTCCTTCGTGGAAGACTTGGCATCTTGTTCCATCATAGGTGGCCTTCACAAGCTTGACGATTTTCTCAGGTATTCCAAAATGCCGCATGAGTTTCCACAGAGTTTCCATGTCCACGCTGTCAAACGCCTTTTCATAGTCAATGAGTTGACCACGAGTGGTGAATTCCATTCAAGCGATTGCTCAACAATGATACGCAGAGTAGCGATCTGGTCCACACATGATCGGTTTTTGCGGAATCCTGCCTGGTTTCCTCGAAGCTTCTCATCCGTTGCCAGCTTGATTCTCTCAAGGAGTATCCTGTTGAAGACTTTCCCAGGTATGGAAAGGAGTGTAATGCCTCTGTAGTTGTTACAGTTGCTGAGGTCTCCTTTCTTTGGCAGCTTGATTAGGTGGCCTTCCTTCCAGTCTGATGGTATTTCCTCCTTTTGCCAAACTTTGTATTCATTAGAGGATACAAAACGCTGCACACATTTTTTGTGTGTGAATGCTTTTTTTAGTTGTATTTTGTCCATTTGTGAGGCATTGTGGTGAAATAACGAAATTAAAGAAAATGGCATTTTCCCGCTGGTTTGGCAATTTTTATCAATTTTTAAATTTTTAACACAACACCTTTTCAAAGTATTCAAAAACCCATTTCTCTGCAGATTTTTATGGAAAAACGTTAATTAAAGGCACCAAAAATGCAAATGCTCAGTTTCCAAGGACTCTCAAACTTTAAAAATCAGCAAACTTTGGCGGCCATTTTTTCGCTAATTGGATCTTTGAAACCAGGCGATCCCTACTCTCTTGTATCACAAATATCTCTACTTTTGTTCAAGATTAATTTGCATTTTTTCATCAAAAGCAAGGTAAATAAACAGGCTTTAAGATAATACCAATAACTCCATATCCAAAAATTGACAAGTGGCTGACTGATTCCACCATGTCGTGACACATTTAGTTTTTTGTGAATGTTTAGCATTCATGATTTGAATTACTCAGTGTCATGAATTCCAGTGTAGTAGCGCCCTTCGTAAAATTTATCGAGCGATTCGAATTCGCAAATCAAAAGAAAAATTGAATTCGAGAAATGTGTTGAAAAAGCTGCAGTATACTGAAATTTTCAATGTTTTGTCAGCCCCTGCAATTTTTATGCTCATTTAACTTAATCACATGAAACAGGTTTTTGAAGTATTCCATTTAAGGCATGATGCGGGGGAAATTTTGAAATTCATTAATAAGAAGAAACTAAGCTTACAAATATGGTAGCATCAACATAAATAGAGT